CTAGCAGTCCATGGTATTCTCAATACTCTTCTCCAGCACCACAGCTCAAAGGCATCAATTCTCCTTCTATCCTCCTTGGTCATTGTCCAACTCTCTGATGTGATTGTGAAGACCATGCTCATAAGGGAGGAATAACCAGAAAAGGAGTGTGAGAACGGCCTCACAATTCAGAGAATAAAGGTCACTAGTTTGTTCAGTTGATGTGTGCTTTGCTGTGTCTCTCCCCAACAACAAAATAAATAGAACTAAAGGAAAAAATAGATTATGACCTTAGAAACTCTAGGACAGTTCTGCTCTGCTCTGTTGTCACAGAACTGACTTGATGGCAAGGGCATGTAAACAAGGGCAGATTATCACACCTTCTTGGCACCACTCGTGGGTTCAAACTTCCAACCTTTACAATTGAGTGTAAACCATTGGTGCCTCCCAGAGACCTTGCAGCTGTGAAAGCTTCCCCTATTCAGTCAGAAAGAGCTTTGATAACTTAGTGGGTAAGGGCTGGGCTGCCAACCCAAAAGTGGGTAGTTCAAATACACCAGCTCCTCTGAGAAAGAAAGATGGAAAATCTCTTGTGCTGTTTACAGCCTCAGAAAATCCCATGGAGGGTCAGCAATGACTTGATTCTAACCTGATGACAAGGAGTCATTATATTTTGCTCAAGAGGAAGGTGGCATATTATCATATACTTGCCATCCTTAGGGGCTAAAATGATCATGAGTTCACAACCTTGGGGAGAGGGTGAGGCTTCATCTGGAATCTCAGGGGGTAACCGGGCCCCTAAGTAGATTCTCTGCTTTGCTTGCTTTTGCATAAATTTTGTTTAAGGCTCAGTGAAGTTGGAAATCCCAGTCACAATTTAACCAAGAACTTTTTGGATGCTTTATTTAAAAAAAAAAAAAAACCACCCAAAAAAACACTTCTTGCTGATCGTAGTTTTATTTAACTGGTAAAAGTTCTACTTAGAACTGCATGGTCTGTTCTTTGTATTCTGTGTATCATTGTAACTATGTTTTTCATTTTAATTATGTTTTTTAGCATTCAGAATGATTAACAATGGTAATGTAAGTAGGAAAGTACTTCTAGAATCACTGTGTTTTCTCCTAGATTGAAATTGTTTGCTGTACAAGCAGTCCCCAAGTTAGGAACTGACTGCTAAAATTTGCCCTGTAATAATGTTAAGGAAATTTGCCCTTAGTTTGAAATTACCCTTTGATGCAGCACATTCTCTTAGTCACCTTTGCTGTATGTGCTTTTAAATTCTCTTAGTCACTCTTGATGTGTTGTTGTTGTTGTT